GGAGACTCCTTGGTCCTACTGCATTTTTCCCAAACCCCAATTTATATCGAGTTCCGTCTTGAATTCCCTGCTTATGCTTTTGAAGTTCTCCACTCCTGAATTCCATCTTCGATGCGAAGCTACGAAATCGGGGTTACAATACGTTTCCTACGACTCGTTATAGTTTTTGTAGTTCTTCCCCTAAATGCTGAGGTCGCGCTTCTTAGAGATGTATGTGGTGCGCTCAGCAGCCTACCAACGTGAGTAGCGCCGGGTTTAAAAGGGTGCCTTTTCGCTCCCATCATGTCCTAAAGAATTCCACCTCCTCATGAATGTCCTGGCTTTCCTTGAAGACTTAATGCGCGATCGCAGATCGTAGGCGATGGGGATCAAAAACAAAATGTAGACGCTAGCTGACCTACTAGTGAGGAAAAAATCGGAAAAAACTCTCTCTTCTACTCGATAAGGCCTTCTTCTTGCTTTCTTTCGTGATCATTGGATGAGCATAAGATTGCCAAGATTAGCTGGAAGAAGTTAAAGGCGACGATGCGCTCAGGAATGTGGAAGAAACCACAACACGTCATAGGCCACTTGGGCCGGTATGGGGCTCATGGGCCCGAGCTTGCACTTGCGCTTCTTATGAACATTTGAGCTGCGAAAAGGGTCCTTCTTGTGTGGTTGCGAGTCCAGCTCACTAACATAAGGTTAAGCCCGACCACTTCGATAATCGTAGAGTGTCCATTATTCTAAGTAGTTAACCACGTAAGCAAACAAGTGGGTATACCGGATTGACCTTTTAAAGACTTCTGTAGGTTGATAAATGGTTTAATTAGCTAGATGGTTGACTGGTTAACCTATTATTCACATGTGTTTAGTCTAATCGACCGTCGAGGTAAAATGAACACTGATCCGGTGTTCCGGGTACCATTCCCACAGACCGGATATGTCAATGAAGTGTCGGAGGAAACAAAATGAAACATCGGTAAGGTGCTTTTTTTTTGAACTTGTTAACTTTCTCTCAGGAACGTTCTCAGTGGTCGTATGGGCGAGAACGATCAATCATTGTGCCATCCTCTTCAAGGAGCCCTTCTCCGAAACAGGATGGACGCACCAATGGGAAAAGCGCAGTGGTTGGCTGTCCCCGCCCATGAGACTACCGCGGACGACGCCTGAAAGTTGTTGTATTTCAAGCATCTACTGATTTAGCACTATGTGACGTTGCGTGTTTCAGAAGCGATGTACATGATGATTTGATGACAAGAAGGCCTCTGAAGCACTGCACTACTTGACCGTAGTAGAAGAGTCTAGAAGAAATTTATATGTGAATACTTCCGACGCCACACGGGTTGTGTTATCTGTGATGCAGATAAAGCATACGATTTTATTCTATCTCTTGAAAATGTCACGTACAGACGATCTCGAGTATAAATTCTAATGAGTGAATCAAAAAATGCCTTGTCTGGTCACTCATACGAGATAGGCACTTCGGAATTACGAAAATATTATTTAATCCCATTCAAACGTGGAGAGAACATAGAGGAAAGGCAGCCGAAAGCAGCCCTCGCTAGAGAAAGCAGAAAGCAGCTCGGCTACAGCAGCGAGCTACTATACCATTTGGAAGCTAGTACCTTTCAGCTATATATCTGTAAAATTTGGCAAACCTACCCACAGAAGAAAATCTCGAGCAATTGAAAAGAATCCCGAGTGGTCAAAATCAGCGCCAGATTTCCGAATCAGGCGTCGCAAAAGGAAAGTGCGCTGTTCAAATTGGACCTCTGTGCCGGACCATCGACTTCGTTAACGGTAGTTCATCGAAATTTATACAAGTGTGAAGGTTTGCTCAGGAGCCAGAGTAGAAGGAAAAAAATCTGCTGGTCGTGGGCATGTCTCATAATGGCCTGCACAGAAAAGATGGGATGAAGCCAAAGCCGCTGCAAACTCTGAATCACAGAAGTCGCTGAACCCCTTGATCGAGCTTACCTGCGAGCATGACTTCCTGCTGCCAATGTTGTCCGAGTTATATCCGATAATAACTGTAAGGGAGTCAAGATGCATATGCGCCATTGTAGCTAATTTTCTTGTAGAACCACGAACGCAGTACCGATTTTATGCCTCTAGCAGTAATGTTCTCGGCCATGAGATGTCATTCACGACTGTAAAAACGCCTCCCGCCCCTAGATGAAATACGGGTGGTCTTGGACCTCCAGCCAAAACTCACAACCTGTTAATTTTATACGAATGCAGATGAGAAGTCGCCCGAGTTCTACCGTGAGAGAAGTTACGTGGGCGCAAGTGGATGATCATCATCAACAAAGGATTGCCACCACATGTGACTTTCTTGGTCGGCTCTATACAGAGAATAAAATCGGCGCTGTCGGTGTATATTGCCTGTTCCTCGGCAATCAGACCGACAAATGGATGATACCACACAACTACAAGAAGGCCACCGTTGCTCGTCATAGTGCCAGACCCCGAGTAACTGTATTGTAGATCAGTGCTGGGACACAAACAATACTGAGACCTGAGTTCAATCGTCCCATTCGCCCGTCATAAAGCCATGCGATTACAACTGTTCTATTCATTGCGAGTACTCTTCCAACGGCAGACGCTACAATGTTTTGTCATTTGCCGAAATTGGCAACAACAGCAATTTACCCACACTTGTTGAAAAATCGAAGGTACCAGAGGTCCAAAGGCCCTCGGGGCACTGGGAGCGGGTCATTGGTGAAGGAGGGATTTACTTAACTTGAAGCCAAAATATTACTTTTTTATCTGTTTTTCTCTCAGTTTTATATGAAGAAAACCTTCCACATTTTTGAATGGGATGACCTAATATGGATGATCTAATGGGAACGGATCATTGCATCCGAAACAAAATGGTGAAGAATTAGGTGCTCGCCCCCGATCAATCCCTTTTTAAGATGCGGCACGTATTCTACTACCATTGAAAATTGTAGTGGTTTGTTGAGTGCAATATGACCTACATAATGACTTGTGGGGGCCAAAAAATGAGCAAGTCAGCGTTTTTATCCTCCCAGGCGAAACCTGTACCGATGCTTGCGGCTTCGTAAAGTAGGAAGGCTTGGTTTGCGTGGGCAGGAGCCGATTCAGGATTTGAACTTCGTAGCTAGCGTGTGGCAAGCGTGCCATTTGCCACTATGCCGTCTCCGTCTCACTCTCAAATTAATTTATCGTCTCACTCTCAAATTAATTTATAGAATTAGAGAGATCAACAATTGAACCCGACAAAAAAGCGCATTTTATTTATTCAAATAACCATATTTCTATGAGAAATAAGGCGATCACAACACCAGCAAGCAAAAGTACAGCAATACGATAATTTATAATCAAATGGACGAAGAAACCGAAAAAAAAGTGAAAATTCATTCCAGAAAGTGGGAAATATATCAACGCACGGATACGCCGTGCTCCCCCCACATAAGTTCAGATAGCTCTGCTACTTCAAAGGTGTTGAGCTGTGCTTTGAACACTAATAAATAGACTTTGATCCGCTCAAGTGACTATTTGACTCTTGAGAGCATAGCCATTCAGCAGTGAGAGGACCCCGAGGCCTCTTTGCTGCGCCTTTCTATAACAAGTGAAAACTGGAGTTATTATAAAGAAATAGAGATAAAGTAGACGGCTCCTACTTTCAAGTTGGTCCGCAAGGTTAGGTACCTTGAAAGGGCTCTCCAAAGTTACAGGCGGAAAACCTCGGAAGAAATCAACTCAAATAGCCTAGCAACATGGCAGTATGGGGTCTAAACATAGACTAGGGAAACAGAAGACTAAATTGTGAATCTATTCCGAAGACATTACAAAAGTGTCGACGGTGGTGTCCTGAAGACTTTGTGAAACGTCTGATCCCGTCTGTGAAATTGGCGAGGGAGGAGAGACCTGAAGCAAGGATTCCTCGCCTTTACCAGGCTCTGGAATAGGCGACAACCGAGATGATGGTCGATTTGAAGTCGCTGTAGTAACATCGTCGATGTCCGATATGACTTCATCCTGAAAATGGATACTTGTTAAAGACAAAATACACACTCACCTCCGGGGATTCTCCTAGCCATGTGCAAGGTGAATGGGTCCGCACCAGTAGCGTGCCTTTTTGTCCGATTTGATGCACGAGAACTGGGCCGGAGGGTGTTCTCGGTACTGTCGCCCTGCTCCGCCCGCGGTGCCGCAAGACCATCCACATGCGTGACTGCGGCCAAAAGCTTACGCTTTTTACTTCCGGTTGTTGTATATCGCTGGGGTACGTGTTTCCTTGCAAGACTATGGCGTCAATGCAAGTGCTGCACCTCGAGGATAGCGCGGGTAGAGTATGGAGACGCATTCAGTGTTGCCACCCTCCAAGCCACTTCCCGTCCATTTTCAAGAGAAATTGACACGCTGATGGGATTGCGGACCCATTCTCCTCCCTCACGGAAACGATCGTTCTTGGAATTGAGAATACAGTTTGTTCCTAACTGATGTCATCAAACTGCGACTATGTAGGGTGAGATTATTGTGAAAGGTTTTTGGAAATCCTCAAAGTCCCTGTGCATTTTTTTCTCGAGTCCCAGCTTCATAACT